TGACCGGTCGTATATACATTAGCAGACCATGGTTGCGACTGTAACCTCGCTCCCAAGCTGCTGCTGCTGACATGTGTGTGTGTGTTTGCAGCCTATCGCATAGGATTGCCTAGCCACCGACTGACCGGCCGATAGGCAGAGTGATAGACGTAGCACTAGCGTTATATTCTAAAAATAAATAATCGGTTGACGAATGACGGCCGAAAGTCAATATCAGTTTCGGCCGAAACCAAAACACGACCGAAAGTAAAAAAATGATTTTCGGCCGAAACCGAAAGTTAAAAATTTACTTTTGTCCGTAACCGAAAGTATGCCGAACGAGGCCATTTGCCAACTTTGGGCACCGAAACCGAATTTCTGTCGGCCTCTACTCTCCATGACCCACCAACCCCACGTGTTACTTGCTGAATCTACAGCTGTGCATTGCCAACATACCCAGCTCATCAACCCGTCATCAACCGTTAATGACCTCAAATATCTCAAAATAATGTCCTGTCTTCAACCAAACCACATGGCTCTTGTTAGGAGACACAACGTGCCATTGCAGTGGCTCTGTCGACTCGAATGCGTGACGAATTCAGGGTCGCGCGCTCGCCGCTTGGTGCAGAGAGAGGTTCACGGTCTGAATTTAGCGGCCGCCCTGATTATTACTGCGGGTGTAATAATCATGGCGACACCACCACGTGTCTGCTTGGACAGTGTGGATAGGGCTATAGAGTGGATAGGGCTATAGTGGATATGCTAGAGTGGATAGGGCTAGAGTGGATATGCTAGAGTGTATACGCTAGAGTGGGTAGGCTAGAGTGGATTTGCTAGAGTGGGTAGCAGGGGCGGTTTCTTCATTAGGGCGATTGGGCGACGCACCACCAATGTCATTCAACCACAGAGTCACGCGAGCCGTCACTGTGCCTCTGGATATAGTCCAATCAGCGTCATGCTACGTTCTGTGGAGTACCGCCTCTTTTTGGGCAATTTCCCTCCAGCTGAGAATCGCCCCGAGTGGCCCCATAGACTTACATTCAAAGATGTTTTTTTTCGAACGGGGGCGCTGCAATGCATTCTCTATGGCTTCCGGGAGGGCTCGCCCTAACGTGCTTACGTCATCATACGTGCTTACGTCATCATACGTAAGCACGTTTCATCCAACAATATAATTTGTTGCCACCTAGTGGAATCTTTAATAAAATAAACTTGAGTGGTTTGTTTTAATAGTGAGTATAGAAACAAACAAGATGTATTGTAAGAGTCACTTTATTTTTCATTAATATTAAAGAAGTGAAGTTGCGTTTACATGCTTAAGCTGTTAATTTATCCATTGCATGGGTGGACCTTATCCTTATCAATCATCCAGACATTTGCCCCCCCTGAGAGATTTTGCAGGAGCCGCCACTGGTGGGTAGGCTACAGTGGATATGCTAGAGTGGATAGGCTACAGTGGATAGGCTAGAGTGGATTTGCTAGAGTGGATAGGCTACAGTGGATATGCTAGAGTGGATAGGCTAGAGTGGATATTCTAGAGTGGATAGGCTAGAGTGGATATGCTAGAGTGGATATGCTAGAGTGGATAGGCTACAGTGGATATGCTAGATTGGATAGGCTACAGTGGATAGGCTAGAGTGGATTTGCTAGAGTAGATAGGCTACAGTGGATATGCTAGAGTGGATAGGCTAGAGTGGATATGCTACAGTGGATTTGCTAGAGTGGATAGGCGAGAGTGGATAGGCTCGAGTCTCCTCCCCACGGCAACGTCGTCTCTTCAGTGTTTACCTTTCAGGCCGGTTTAACCAGCCAATTAAAAACACCACCCACAGCTCAGGTCGCCCTGGTTTGGACCGATTGATATCGTCTGCGTGAAGGCACGCAGTTAATGCTGCGGTAAACCTATACGTAAAACAGTTAATCAAATACAACTCTTTGACTGCACCTTATTGATTACATCCTGTAAACACAGAGGTAACATCTGGAGGTAAAACAAAACCCTCTGGTCTGGCAATCCGGCCGCGTGGGATCGCACCGTCATCGCCTCGAGCACATTGCCTTATATGGGCATGGTGTTGTGACGTCACTCAAAACGCCGGAGGCGATGGTCTATGGGCGGGGCGTAGAATGGGCGGGGCTGAACGGGGCGGGGCTAAGGTGCAAAGGGGAGGGGCACTCTTGGAGGCGGGGCTCACGTCCGAGTGAGTGGGGGGGTTGGGCTGTGGCTGTAGCTAGAGGGTGTTGTAGCTAGGGGGTGCTGTAGCTAGGGGTGCTGTTGCTAGGGGTGCTGTAGCTAGGGGTGCTGTAGCTAGGGTTGCTGTTGCTAGGGGTGCTGTTGCTAGGGGTGCTGTAGCTAGGGTTGCTGTAGCTAGGGGGTGCTGTAGCTAGGGGTGCTGTTGCTAGGGGTGTTGTTGCTAGGGGTGCTGTAGCTAGGGCTGCTGTTGCTAGGGGTGCTGTAGCTAGGGGTGCTGTTGCTAGGGGTGTTGTAGCTAGGGGTGCTGTAGCTAGGGCTGCTGTAGCTAGGGTTGCTGTAGCTAGGGGGTGCTGTTGCTAGGGGTGCTGTAGCTAGGGGTGCTGTTGCTAGGGGTGTTGTTGCTAGGGGTGCTGTAGCTAGGGCTGCTGTTGCTAGGGGGCTGCTGTAGCTAGGGGTGCTGTTGCTAGGGGTGCTGTTGCTAGGGCTGCTGTTGCTAGGGGTGCTGTTGCTAGGGGTGCTGTAGCTAGCGTTGCTGTTGCTAGGGGTGCTGTAGATAGGGGTGCTGTAGCTAGGGCTGCTGTAGCTAGGGTTGCTGTTGCTAGGGGTGCTGTTGCTAGGGGTGCTGTTGCTAGGGGTGCTGTAGCTAGGGCTGCTGTTGCTAGGGGGCTGCTGTAGCTAGGGTTGCTGTTGCTAGGGGGTGCTGTTGCTAGGGGTGCTGTTGCTAGGGGTGCTGTAGCTAGCGTTGCTGTTGCTAGGGGTGCTGTAGATAGGGGTGTTGTAGCTAGGGGTGCTGCCGTTGGGGGGTGCTGTTTGCAGCTCTAGAGTGAAGCTATGCGACATTATGGGACCTTTGAGCATGCAGTGTGAGTCAAAGTATGAAAAACAAGAATAGATTGTACCATTTCAGGCAATAAAACGGGAGGTGTTAAGATGTTTAAACAGCAAATGGAAACCTTTTGCAAGGAATCTGGTTCCTGCATTAGCCACACACGGTACCGGTGGTGAACACGTTCACAAACCTGCTCTGAGCATATCTGCATCGTCTTCGAGACTGACTGCCCTACGCCAGATACAACAACCTCATTCGTGGCCTCGTCTCGCCAGCGGCAGAGCAGAGAACGACGACAAAAGTTGAACCCGACACAGACAATGGCACACGTGTGAGAGCGTGTGTACCTCGGGGTGAGGCAGCTATATCACGGGATCGTTTTGGCAGTATCAAAGTGTGAAACATAAGAATAGGTTTAAAGCTGTCGTGACTGCAGGGATTCATCTTCTTGGTTCTTTCGGTAAAGTCACGTAGAAGGGAAGTAATAAAATAATAAAAATAAAACATAATAAAATAATTATCACGACGTTTCGGCCACAACGCAAGCAGCCGTCCTCAGGTGAAGAACAGGTCTATCGGGGAGACAGCGTCTGAATGAAACACCACCACGCTTGGAGCGTATATTTAAGCTGGGTTGGAAGGGGGGAAGGGCGCATTGACAAAATAATTTGCATATCAAGAGGAATTTAGCATATTTATGGGAAATGAAGGTATGTGATTAGTACTACTTTTGAAATGCGTAGGAGGTGGGCGGGGGGTTTCAAAGTCATATTATGCCCGTGCATTATGCAGGATTAGCAGCATCAAAGGGAGGGGATAGGGGTAGCATTAATAAAGGGAAGGAATGTTAATAGGCAGCATATAGTACGGGATAGACCCGTGTGATGTAAGGGAAAAAAGTTTAGCTGGAAGCATATTATATTTTTTGCGACATAGAATTGTAATGTATTACTTACTGTTAGTACCTCAGCTTATTGGAGAGTATATTTAGTATACTGATGATACTATGTAGTTTTTACTTTAATTCTTTACGTGGTTGTTTAGTTACTGCAGCTCCTTACTATTAACATTCCTTACCTTTATTAATGCTACTCCTATCCCCTCCCTTTGATGCTGCTAATCCTGCATAATGCACGGGCATAATAGGACTTTGAAACCCCCCGGCCACCTACGCATTTCACAAGTAGTACTAATCACATACCTGCATTTCCCATAAATATGCTAAATTCCTATTGATATGCAAATTATTTTGTCAAGGTGTTGACGATGGTGCTGGTGGTGGTGAGGATGATGGTGGTGATGGTGTTGATGATGGGGAGGATGGTGCTGGTGGTGGTGAGGGTGCTGGTGGTGGTGAGGATGGTGGTGGTATTCTTTGGTTCTTTCGGTTAAGTCACGTCTAAAGATAAAATAATAAATTAAATAATAGCATATTACGACGTTTCGATTGCAACACAAGCAATCATCATCAGGCATAAAAGAAATAGCAACAAAAATCTAACTAGAAAACTATAGACAGACATACAAGCAGACAGACATCACAAGGACACGCACAGAGAGAACACATATATCTATAGTTTTCTAGTTAGATTGTTGTTGCTATTTCTTTTATGCCTGATGATGATTGCTTGTGTTGCAATCGAAACGTCGTAATATGCTATTATTTAATTTATTATTTTATCTTTAGACGTGACTTAACCGAAAGAACCAAAGAATAATTCTTGCAGTCACGAAAGCTCCAAAATTAAGATTGATGGTGGTGGTGTTGATGTTGGTGATGATGGTGCTGGTGATAGTGTTGATAAGCTCGGTCCACCCCACCACTCGACCACTTTCAACCTCTCGGCGTCCTCCAACCTCCCCGCGTGTTGAAGGCGGCTCCACTTTGGGCGCAGGCAGCGACCCCCCCCGGGGTCTCTCCCCGTGCCGTGCGCCACGTGGGGCCCACGAGGGAGGCGCGGCCGTGGGGGAGGAGCCAGAGTCGGGGGAGGAGTCGGAGTCGGGGGAGGGGGCGGTGACCACTCGCGGCCCCTCCCCCCCCCCCGCGCTTCTCCCCCCCCACGCGTCTCGCAGCGAGTCCCACTCGCAGGGAGCGCAGACGGCTCCCGGGGAGCGCGCGGACACGACGCACGCGCAGAGGAGCCGCCGCGTGCCACGGGACGGGGAGCCGGGATGGCTTCGGCCTCCCGAAGTGGAGGAGGAGACGGAGGAGGCTCCCGCCTCGAGGCGGACACACGCGGGCACGGTTCGGGACAGGGAGCTGGACACGGGCCGCTGGGACAAGCAGGAGGAGGAGGAGGGGGAGCGCACGGGGGAGCCGGGACACGGGGAGCCGCGCACGGCAGACCCTGCGTGGTTGGGGGAGCAGGAGGAGGCGTCCCCCCCGGGGCGGGCAGCCCGGGCGCGAGTCGCCCTCTCGACGTGATCCGTCGGCAGCTCCGCAAAGTCCACAGCGTGGACCTCGACTCGTCCGTGAGCAAGGTGGAGCCGGGGGAGCGAGGTGGAGCAACGGGCGGACGATGGGACAGCAACAGCGCCAGCAGCAGTAGCAGCATCCTCATCAACAACAACAACAGCAGCAGCATCCTCAACAACAGCAGCAGCAGCAGCGCCGTGACGGGCAACTCCAACAGCAGCATCCTCAACAACAGCAGGACTTCTACGGAGCCGGCTTCCAGGTCACTTGACAGCCACATGGATGAGTGTTGGGCCGCTGGTGGCGAGGGTGGTGTTGGTGGTGGTTTGATCACGGTGGTGGTGGTGTTACTGATAGTGCCGTTTGTGATTGTGATGGTAGTGAGATGTCGTGTTAGTGCCGGTGCTCGTAGTAGCGACACTGGTGATGGTTGTTCTGGTGTTGACGACTCTTGTGTCAGTGTTGACAACTCTCGTGTTAGTGTTGATAACTATTGTGTAGTGTTGAGAGTTGTCTTGAGAGTTCGTGGCAGGGTACGATGTTGGTGAGGATGGTGTTGGGTGGCACTGGTGCTGATATTTCTGCTTGTAACAATGGTCCTCGTGAGTGTAGTGATGATTTTGGTGCAGATAGTGATGGTTGGTGGTGGTGGTATTGGTGCTGGTGATATTTGTACTGGTTGATGCCAGTAGCTTGTGGTGTTGATGGTGGTGGTATTGGTGCTGGTGATATTTGTACGGGTGATGCCAGTAGCTTGCGGTGTTGATGGTGGTGGTATTGGTGCTGGTGATATTTGTACGGGTGATGCCAGTAGCTTGTGGTGTTGATGGTGTGGTATTGGTGCTGGTGATATTTGTACGGGTGATGCCAGTAGCTTGTGGTGTGGTGGGGATGGTATTGGTGCTGGTGATATTTGTACTGGTTGATGCCAGTAGCTTGTGGTGTTGATGGTGGTGGTATTGGTGCTGGTGATATTTGTACGGGTGATGCCAGTAACTTGTGGTGTTGATGGTGGTGGTATTGGTGCTGGTGATATTTGTACTGGTGATGCCAGTAACTTGCGGTGTTGATGGTGGTGGTATTGGTCGTGGTGATTTTTGTACGGGTGATGCCATTATCACTGGTGATGCTGACGTTTAGTGTGTGCCTTGGACGAGACGGCGAGCAGGACATTATTTGTCAATGTGGCGCAGCGAGGTTGAACTTTAGCCTGCAGGGGGAAGGGGCTTCTGGGATGGAGCCTCACACCTCTGTCGTTCTCCATTGCACACCGCTTGTGTACTGCATAAACAACGCCGTTTGTGCTCTGTGCGGAGCTACTGGTCTGCCCAGATAACAGGGTTCGAGAATGAGAGGAAAGCGGTTGAGTTTATTGTGCCGTGCTGGCCCTAGGTGGACAATTATTACTTTGCATGATCATGAGGATGTTCAGCTCATGGGGATCTTCATCAGCCAGCATTAGATCGACCATGGCTACTGATGATGATCAACATCACCATGACGATATTGTGTTCATGTGACCGTGGTTAGTTATTATGAAAATGTTTTATGAAGCACCACGTCTTGAAGTGCTACCCCAGTTATTGTCACGAAAAAATATTTTCATGTCCTAACCTTGTAAGTCTGTGTGTGTGCCCTCCAATTGTGTCCTTCATGTGTGCCCCTGTTCAGCTGTACGAGCTCGAGACATGTCTGGCCACTTAAAAATACTTTTAAAAGGCAATGGAGATTGACAACCGTTTTCAAAAGTCCTCCCCCATAGTGAAGAGGTCAAGACAGAGGTGCTGTGTTTTGGCGCCAGCTAATCCCTGTCAGTCAGGTATTGAGGGTTCGTTCATTCCTCCAGATGTGTTGACCAGATAGCGAAATACAGTCCATGTCTGTGTACAATGTATTGTGAATTTGAACAAAGGATTAGTGCCCTGAGAGAGAATAAAAACTTGGGAGCGGGTTGTTGTTGTGGACAGTACTTTCCTGGGTGCCTTTGCCCGATAACTTCCCACCCCACATCGCCAGATCTGGTGAGTGAGTTGACAAATTAGAAAACTGTAATTCAGATAGAATAATGCAGTTTGTAGGTAAATGTGTATCAGTGTACGTTGCGTTAATGCGCGGTAAATTGTATCGCAACATTGTTTATGTCGTCGTAAGGTCTTCCAGTATCATCTGTCGGCTTTTTGGTTGGGGTTCATTTGGCGACTTTCTGCTTGAAGAAGTTGCCAAAACTGGCTCTTCTGCGTGGATGACTACACAAGGGCACGCGGGGAGAATTGTCTCGGCGCCGGAGAGGCGAGTGGTGCCAGGCCTGATGCCATCGTTTTTCTTGTAATTCACATTTGGTAACGTGCACCGATTTCGTTCACACTCGGTATGTGTGTGTGTGAGAGAGAGGATGGTTCAGAGACGTGGGAAACAGCAGGCAAGCGAGAAGGTGGCCAGAACCGGTGCCCACACTTGCCCGAGCTCTGGGGTCCTAAGTTTGGATGTTTGACCAGCTCTGTTCCATGCTAAACGGGGCCTCAATGGGACAAACCATGGACGCAGTCATCACCGTTTGGCCTTGTGGACAATGAACTTATCAATCGGATGCAACGCAGCAATAGCTGTAAGTTGTAACGGCCGTGTCGTAAAGGACATGCTGGCAGTTGTGTCATGAAATGTGCACTCTGTGGTGTAAGCACAAACATTCTGTGAGTGTTCATGAAAAGTAAGACAATAATGCAAGCTCACTCACTTTTAAGTGTGCGCAATTACCCATAAATCTCCACAGACATCTGTGGTTAACTTACAGATTGTTCTGTATTAAGGTGGGCACAACATATGGGAGAGTGGTGTGGTTCGGAACACAATCAGCCATCACTGTCTCCACAATGCTGATGGGTACTAGTTAATACATCACATCACGTGCTCAAGCTCGAGTTGACCTGACGGGGGCCCAGTTCAGGCTCAGGCACACATGGCCTCTGGTAAACTTGGTAAAATCCCGCCGTCTCTACTCCCAGCAGTATAAGTACGGGTACTCCCACTTTCTTCAAGACGCCTGCATAGTGTGGGATAGTCGGCTCAATGATCTGCTAGAGGGGCTCTCTATAGAGCCCTCCCAAGTGGGAGGCCCTTTCACCAGCAGGGGAGTGAGCCAGTCATTGCAGGTCTGCACCTTTACGTGTTACGCTGGGTCAAGAAGTAAACATGGGCCTCTAAAATCATAGCACAGTTTTATAACCACTATGCCACCCCTCCCATTTGCAAATGTAAACTCATTCATGCACCAATGCACACACACACAGTGTCTGCACGTAGACTATCCTGGTTTGAGTGACAAGGTGGATGATGCGGGATTTGCTGAGTGTACGAGCGTTGCCAAACTGCCATCATATAAAACACCACCCATCGATTTGGGGAAAAAAATGAAATGAATCGATGACGCTACACTGTGAGTGTCAACTTGCGCAGTTGGCAGGTTGAGACTCGACTGCAGCGCCGCCTCCCACCATGCGAGTGTTTTGCTGGCGTGCGTTTCTTCACCCTGGGCACTGTTTTCCCAACATTCGTCTCTCCGCCCGCCTGGCCACCTGGATCGCCCAGGGAGCTGTAGTGGCGCCTGCCCCGCCGAGGCTCTGTTATGGTGCTGGTGGGATCCAGCGGGACCTTGCCTCGACGGGGAACCATCCGTTCGCGCTGTGCATGCGCTCGCATCAAGTGGCCCAACCTCACGTGCTCCCACCACCCTGACGCTTTTCACGCCTGCCACTCGGCGTTATCGAACCTGAGCCTGAGTGGCGACGCTTGTAAATTCAGCCGTGGGGTAGTGGATCGTTGGTGCGGGGCAGGTCGACGATTGTGCAAAAGTGGGGGGACTGCGGGGGCACAGGCACTTGAGCTAAAAACAACCTCGCATTAGCAGACTGGGCGGGGTGGACAGCAGCAGGGAGCGATGGGACCTGGCCATTGTGGACACGCCAGCAGTCTGCCCGGACTTGTCACAGCGCACCTTTGTGAGCCGGTACATCTATTGCGCAGGGCAGTGCTTTGCCTTTCGCTGCAGAATATCCAGTGCTGTTCAGAGACACCGTGCTGAGGTTGAGTGGTTTGCATAAATACGGAACCTCGTGCCAAAGACGTCTACAGTATGCGCATTCTTTTGTCATTAATTGGAGCTCTCTAAATAGTCATATATGGTAGTCTTCTTCGTCACGGTGGGCCTTGTACAAGTTTTGGCTGCGCGTTCAAGAAAATAATACGCTGACACTGGATATCCCGGTTTGTAAAGGCAAAAGTCCCCGTGGAGAAATGCACCCGTTCCCGGACTCCAGTCACACGCCCTCTCCCCATTCAGCGCTTCGTGTAGCAAATCGACAGATGCATTTCATGTACAGTCCATTGTTCAGTTTGCACACGAGTGGGGAAGAGTGGCTCGTGGAAACGTGGACTGGAGTCTGAAGCCCAGGCGTGGATTTTGACAAACAGAACTTGTTCCCACAGCCACGAAGTTTCCCAGTGTTTCAATTTCATTGCACGATATGCTGTAGTCCCCTTTACAGCAGTGTGGTGCCACTCATTCAGGATTGACATTGCCTCGTGTTTGCGCTGCGATCACGTCCGTACTGAGTGGTGTTCCCTGGTTGTCATCCCAGACTCTCCTTCTAACATTTGCCTCGAGATGCACTGCATGGAAGGTGCGGTATAAATAATTAATACGATGATGACCCGACATTTGTTAATGTTTCTAAGCACCACTTTCGTATACAAGCAGAACCCTTGTTGTCACAAGATCGTGGTATTGCAGTTGCATCCCCTCAAGGAAGAGAGAGCAACTGTGTTCACCATGGCAGGCGTCAGACACTACTGTATACGCATATTTGGCTGCTCGACATTTCCACGTGGTGATGAGCCACTTCGTTGAGCTATCATTTGTGGCCAGGTCACTTCTGAAAAAAATAACTAATAGCCCAGTGGGCTTTACCTGGTAAAATGAAAAGATATATAGTTTAGTTGTTTTTATAGTGATTTGCTTACCTTTCCTATAATTTGCAATCCTATAATTTGCTAACTGGACATCTGCGAAAAAGAGTTTCCTAGCTCATCGGATTTTTTTCCAGGATAAATAAACATTCTGATTCTGATATTCAAAGCAATGCTTCTCCACGGCATGTGTGGGTCTGTGACTTGGGCTGAGGCACCAAGGTGCAGTGTGGCGTGCACTGCTTCATTACGCCACGGGATCTCCACACTTCCGCTTTGTCGCAACAGGCGGAACAGACT